CATTGCATTATGATTTTCTCAATATCTTCCTTATTTATTCTTCGATTTTCAAAATCAAAGAACCATTCGCATCTTGAAACATATGCGCATCGACATTATTTGAAGTATTTTTTCGATAAACGTTGTAGTCACTGAGATAATGCGAGGTATATGAAAAACAATTTAACGAGAATTTACAAGTTTTGAGTTATAGGCGTTTGAAATATGAATCTCTCATATATCGTAATGTAATTAGTAAACTTCAAAATTTTCTATAATTTGTTCTACTTGTCACACGAAATCAAGATTCAACAGGGTGGAAGTTCTGAAACCCATTAATATTTTCCACGAATAAAAAAAAAATCCATATTTTTTTATAAATTACCCCCTACCCCCCAAACGCACAGGACGATTTTTTGACGACAAGTGGATTCATGATCTGGAGATGGTAGGTAACAATTCTAGCCATGTCACAGCTTTTTACCTCCGATTTTCCACGGGGTGAACGATAGGATTCGATTGGCACTCTACTATTGGCCGTTAACGTGTTAATAACCATAAAAACGACAAATGACGTGCGAATGGACTATTTTTTTTATTTCGCAATTAGAATCATCACTCGAATACCTTTCTATTTCATATTTTAGTTATGGGGTATAAGAGATATTTGGACATGCTGGTTGCTAGAAGAAGTCAAGAATGAGCTATAATATCATGGCTTCCTCTTATTATGTTTTATCTCGCGTTTTATTCAACGACAGGACCTTAATCTTTTTTGATAAATTGATTATAATTGATATAATTGATTATATATCTTGAATTGATTGCTATTCTCCGTTTTATTATGTTGTACCTTACAACAACTAATAGGTTTATAATAATTAGTCGATTTTGACACCGTATGTTGTTAGGGGTATATTATTATGTTATAAAAGTTATTAAATTTTTTTTATCATAAGCTATTTATGTCGATATGAATGAAATGTTATATCCGAATAATTTTCTTGAATTGTTGATTAAGCAGCGGTTCCACAGAGGACAGAATAAATCTCTCATATTTTTACTAGTTACTTTGAGGGTGCGTACCACTCTGCTGACAAGTTGTGACAATACCTGTATAATACTTGAGTAGAATTATGTGAACCTCTACTCTCAACAAACTAACCTATCATTGAGGAACGAAAAACCTGGTAACACAAAACTTGAATACTGACTTACCTTGATGGGCAATCCAATGATGTTTTAACTTCTATGATTTATTGTGCCTGTATAAGGTACTGCAGTCTGATGATGGCCGTTGTGCCGAAACCGGTTACTTTTTAATTGACTAATTTTTACATAGTGTGGTCGACTGACTGTGAGTATATATGTTCATTGGAAACATTATTATGTATAATTCGGCCAGTTGCCTACGACTTCTGCTGCAAAGATCATACTCGTGGAAAATGACTATCATTCGGTGCTAGTTAAATATACTATTGTAGTATTCTCCTATATGTAATGGATATTTATGTTTTGCGATGACGGAATGGTTAGATGGTTAGAGAAAACCCGACAACTTCAGTATCGGTCATTTTTTCCTTCCTATTAATTATTACCATCTCTGTTCTTTATTTAAAATTTGTAATAATGACTCACCTCTATTGTTTTGGCAGATCTTCCCGTTGATCTTCCCCAGTATGTGTGGTTTGCATCAGCATTAACACCAGCTCAGATTACTATCTGGAGGTGAGAGTCCTCGCAAAATTCCTTCAACCTGTCCAGCCCCTTGGATGATAGGTTGAAACAGGAACTAGCTCCTTCTTTGAAACAACCTTTATCGTCCTCATTCTAGTTGCTACGAGGTCTCTACAACAGAAATCATTCAGTGTTAAAGCATGCATCCCATTTGTTACAGAGATGCAAGATACTATATATGTGTGCCAGACTGCTGCTTTTTTTCGCTGTTAATTTTCGATGTAATATTTTTTTGTAGCTTCAACTATGTATTCTCGCGGATAAATTTCCGTGTTCTGTTGAGATGTTGGTAAAAGGTAAATACAACAACAAAGAAAACCTTGATATCGTTTATTTAAGTTTCAACAATAAATTACTATGATCAATTGAAGGGTGGAGAGAAAGAACAAGGAATGTTATATTTTTTCAAAAATGGTAATACGCATATTGCTTTCATATTTGGTCTAGATATCCTCTACCCATGAGTCAGTTAAAAACTGGGAAGAACTAGAAGGTACATACCAGCTCGAATTCTTTGCTTCCCAAATCAGTCTTTGCTATCTATTTATCAGTTACGTCCACATCAGATGTAAACAAGAGTTTTTTTTTCTTCAAAATAAACTTTATTCATTAATATTGCACGCCTTTTAGTACGAATTTTTATTCTAGATTTATTGCCAGTTCCACCAAAAAAAACTACAATTTGATGACTTCGAAGAGGTTTTGTAGACCTGGAGCACATATGTACTTCACAGAACTACCCCATCAACAATAACTTTGTATGACATTCCTGATATTTCCATAACGTGAAAATTCACTATGCATTTCTGCATAACGAATAGTGTTGTTAGTTTCAATATCATGAGAATATACTTTATATATTGAAGTTGGAAAAATGCGATTACCTATTTAAAACAAATATATTGGGACATTTCAATTTTTTTCCCTCCATTCTTCAATTGGTATAGATTTTTTTACGCCTCTTCAATAATTACTATTATTTTTTATAGAAAAACGTGGGTTTTCACTATACTTACATACCTAATATGTTTGTTTGTATTAAAAACATAATATTCCACTTTGTTACAAAGGAACATTGTTGACATACATGCGAGGTGATGATTGATCCATTAAGTAAGATATTTTGCATCGTTATTGAACAATGATACATATAACGTTATGCGTAAATACATACCGGTCGACCACGAATAATATCATTTCCGTTTTGACCAAAAGCATAATATAGCAACTTCGATATTTCAAGTAAAACACCCTATATTTCCCAATATTCGGATACTGAGATTACTGAGAACAATCAGTGTATCATATTACTAATCTCTGACATTGTCAGGAAAATGAACAAATAATTCAGTTAGGTGAGTTGAAATCAACTTCAACGCTTGAGATATTTCATCAGAATATTGTAGTGAAAGTGAACCTAGAAATCAGTTTTCAAAGCATTTCCGTTAAAATCGAAATGATATTATTTTGATACCAGCAGATATATCGAGAACTTCAAGAGGCAGTGATAGATGACAAAAGTTATGATACTAGTGAAGCAATTAAATAAAAAGCATGTTTTGAATTGACTCGGCCGTTACTTGATGGAAATCCATGGCAAATGTAAAAACTTCACAAACGATAAGATTTCCAGAAAATTGTTAAACACACATGTTCCGCTTACACAGTGATATACTGGTACAATGAACTGAACCAACCTTGGCTTGCTCAACTTGTATATATCCTACTCTCCCAACTTGAAGGATTAGTTACCTGTGGACAGGCTCGATAAACCTTCATTTTCGAAAATTAGGCACAATATCAACTGGAAAGGGTTGATAGCAAATACATATTATTAACTACTAAGAAAACAAATTCAACAGTGGTGAACTATTGAGGTCTAATTGATCGTTAAGTAAAATGTCAAAATTTTTCGAGTTTGTTGATTTCTAATGATTCAAAATGATTGAGTTTCATTCCTTCATTTTCTACGTGTAGAATTTCGAAATTATCATCAAAACTATTGTTGGCGTATGTTGAATTTTTCTTTTTCAAAAAATGCATCTTATGTTCATGAATGCGCTGATTAAACGTACGACCCGTCTGACCGTACGTTTAATCAAATGAAACTCAATCATTTTGAATCATTAGATATCAAAAGTCTCGAAAAATTTTACATTTTACTTATCGATCAATTAGATCTCAATAGTTCACCACTGTTGAATTTGTTTTCTTAGTATGTATTTGCTATCAACCCTTTCAAGTTAATCCGGTACACCGTATTTTAATGTAGATATTGTGCCTAATTTCCGAAAATGAAGGTTTATCGAACCTGTCCACGGGTAACTAATCCTTCAAGTTGAGAAAGTAGGATATATAAAAGTTAGGCAAGCCAAGGTTGGTTTAGTTCCTTGTACCAGTATATCACCTGACGAGGCTACTGTGTTAGCGAAACATGTTGTGTGTTTAAGAATTTTGTGGAAATCTTATCGTTTGTGAAGTTTTTACATTTAAAAAGCATGTGTTTATATGCAGGTAAATTCACTTCGGAGCGTCAGTTTGCCGACTGGCGATGTGTGAGAGATAATATCTATTTCTTTGCTATTTACTGACAGTGAGCATCCATTGACGTTCAGTCTATGTAGGTATGCAGGAAACGTAATGCTATTATAGTTTGAGAGCCCGTGGGAGAACTGAAAAGAATTTGAAACAATGAAACTTTAATGTTTTTCAATATCTTTGACTGGTTGCACGTACGCAGCTGCTATGTTGCGGCCTTCGGACAAACTACCTTCTCTCCCGCACATAGATTTAATCGTTCCGATTTTAAAACTTTGAAGCATGGCAATAATATTCTTACATTGGAATGGTCTCTATGACGTCACGATACGATCAACCTCATGTTCTCCCGCGTTTCTCATATTCTGAAATATCGTTGACTTTACAAAAATGTACAGAGCTCTGGGTAGAAAACGGTTTGTGACAGTGAACTAGTTTAGGTTAGTACGTCAAGATAATGAAATAAAAATTTGAACTGAAACAGTCTCTTTGGGGGCAGTAGAAGTTGTTATACATACCTACAGTGTTCCATTTGAAATAACGGAGAAAATATTACTTCACTTCCGAACAAACCAGAAAGTGAGATGTTTGAATACTCAAAACCTGCATGCAAAATTTTAAATTGATATATTGTTTCATGTACAGGCTGAGTAGAAATCTCGTGGCCAACCGGTAGTTCAGATATGTATGTAGGTGAATTCGAATTATTTAGAATAGGCTAAAAAAAATCTATTACATAAACATTCCCAAATAATGAGGTATATTTACTCAGATGGTGTTTCATTTCTTTCAACGAGTTCAAACACCAGACTGAACTGATGAGCAGTTAATACAGTGAACCCCTACAGGAGAAAATATAATACATTATTTCAATACCAGCAATGGACTGAACAGAACATTTACAATAAACTTAAAGCCTAGATACAGAGAGTCCAGCATACTACTCAAATCAAACCTGGTTTCAGGATTCAGTTTGATTTCATTAATACTACTATCTTGACATGATGCACAGCCTATTTCTTCTAGATCAACATGTGGTCTGAGACCTCCTAAAATTCCATCTGCGCCCACACCCTCATTATTGAATAAAATGCCTTTGAACCAGATGTGATCAGTTGGTTTTAGCTTCAGCAGATATTCTTTGAAATAATCATTAACTATCACACTTACTTCGGTAGCTTTGCCCCAGATACCCGAGTGCATTTTCAGGTTTATTTCAAATGTATATTTGTTGAATTTATGCAAGGAGCATTTGTTTGTTGAGCTTATTGTATCATAAAAGGATAGACAGTCTTCTTTGACCATTTCCGGAATATGGTCGCAGTCTGCTTTCGTTTCTTCGCCGTAAAAACAATACAAATATCTAGATAACCCCCTCGGGAATTTATCGAAAATGTGTTTATAAGTATTTGTTACTGATTTAACCTTGATGTCAGTTATGTAACCATTCCATTGGATTCGAACGCCTTCCAAATTCGCGCACTTTATTTGAGACAAAGCAATATTTTCCTCCTGCCACACAGGCTGATGGCAAAATCTCTGGAACACCTCCCAAGTCATGATTTGTTGAGATTTTCTCTCCTCGTAATAAACATCTATTTGTTCTCTTGTAGATGAACTGATGAGAACAAAAAATGCAAATATCATCAACACTATTTGTATGACAGCAGTGTACTTTTTGTAGCGAGTTTGGGCACAGATATAACAAATACTCAAGCCTAATGTGCTGAGAATGGCGAATACGCAAATTGTGTATAATATATTTGAGGTTATCATCCATTTTGTAACAGCGATTACCGGGAGAATAACACTAGTGATGCCTACTAGAGGCAAGAAAAGCACTACTCCAACTAAAGCTAGAGTTCCTCTCAGGAAACCGAACATTGTAGCTCCTTGAGAGCTGATGATGCAAATTTGGAGCCAACTCAAGGTCACACAATGGGGAATCAACATTTTATAAGTTCCCTTCCAGTTTTGTTTGTGAGCAATTCTCAAAAATATTAGCGGGATACAAGCATACAAGATGAATCTGAAACTGATACAAAACTCGATTCCATTGCCAATTATGTAGCTAGGAAAAGTAGGAACTTTTAGTTCCAAGAATCGCCATCCTTGAGTCACAACCGGATCAGTTTCATAGGGATATTTTGCCAAAACATTCACAGCAAAACTGAATAGTACCATCGTATCCAGCACCAGTTTTGATCGATTTTTAGGCATAAATCCAAGCAAAGTCATGAATGTTAGCAGAAAAGCTATTATTGTTAATTCCGACTGTGGTATCCATTGCTCAGAAATAATGGGGTACACCATCAAATTGACTAATAGACTCAAAAAGAATTGGCCATAAGGTTTCATATTATTTCGAATATACTGGTGCTCAGTTTCCTCTCTATTCAAATTACCACCAGAATAGCATATGAATAGCCCTGACCAGAGGCGAAAGTCGAGAAACTCTCTTTGATTTTGCAACATTTGAAAGGTAGTGCACACCATAATAATAAAAGACACGTAATAGACTAGCATAGGCAAACAATACAAAAAATTATCAGAGCTACACAAAACATAAACTATCACTAAAAATATGAGGTGGAACTCCGAATTGACTAGAGGATACAGAAACGGTAAAGTTTTACGCCCCAAAAACTTAATCAGTTTGTAATAAAGTATTCGTAAAGCTAGAAATGGGTGCAATATGGATCGGTGCACGAATGGAATGTGATCTAATGCCCTCAAGTTTGGGTCAGAGAGACATAATATCCTGTTGACGTCCGGTAAGTGACCGTGGGAATAATCTACTGCAGCTGTCACAAGGTTGTCCTCTGTTAATTTCTCGTTGCTGCTGTCTGACTTTTGGGACCAGTCTGTTTCTTCCTCTGAGAGCTCGCTTGTTTCTTCATACTCGTTCACCAATTCACCATTACCATCTCCAAAATGATCATTATCAAAATCAACAGTTTCTGTGGATTTTGAATATGTATCGCCTCGATCTATCTCTAAGATTTTCCTCTGAAGTTGTTCCGAGGTAATATAGTCACATCCATTTGATAAACTGCAATATAAATCGTTTGAATCATTAATAATTTCAACTGAAATAAAAAGATTCCTATTGTTCAGTGTCTATCATCTATCACTCTTAAATTGTTAACAACTTCAGAATTATGCAATCAGACTGGTATAGGGAGACCCAATAGCATTCTTAAAACAAAGGGGAACTTAATGGAATTAAATAGAATAGAATAGGATTACATCCATGGTATACAAGTTATGGACACGTCATACTAAGAAACAGAAAAGTTACAAACAAAAAAGTACAAGTGATAAAATCAATTAATATCAAAATAGCACCAGTTGTCTACAAGTGTCATTGATCACTCACAGAATAAGTGGTTGATTTAGTAAAGACTCATTCCGACAAGAAACTTTCTCAACGTTTTTTTAAAACGATCTAACGACATCTCTAATATCTGTGGGAAGAGAATTGAAAAGAAATATTGCTATGGATTTGCTATTTTCTAATCTCCTTCTATGAGGTACAATGTTATGTCCATATCTGGTATTATCATGAATGTCTGATTGTGTAGTGAATGTATATACCTTTTTTAACATGTATGAGATTTTCATAGACAATTTGTGAGTATAAGGTTATAATACCTAAATCTTGAACAAATGGTTGGCATTGTTTACTATAATTAACCTTTGCAATGCTTCGTAAAGCCGCTTTTTGTAGTGTAAACACCTCGGTAAACACTCTTTGAAGGTGGGTGAAGCTCGAATTACCCAAGCACCCCAGCAACTCAAAGCTCATCACTGAATGAAACATTGCATAGTAGGCAGCTTCTTGGCTCAGAGTTGAAGCTATGCGCCTAATGGCCTAAACTGATCTTGCTAATTTAATATTGTCAACAAGTACAAATGCCTATGAATTAACATCACTCAAACTCTCGTTCATTTCAAGATCTTTTATCATAAATCAACTCTTCCAAATTAAAACATCCAGTACATTGTAGGTTCAATCAGGCCAGAGGAGTTCAAAGACTTCAGTTCCTGTAGAATTTGCAAAACCGCGTACCGGGCGATAATACCGAGGTAAGCAATATCGAAAGGTAACGGCCATTCCCATTGCGGAAAATTGCGAATCTAGCATCGATTACAAATATAAATAGAACCCGAATCAATAAGGCATGGTCATTATTAGTTCAATCGTTATTCGATTCATCACTACCAATTATTACATTGAAATCAGTACATAACACTCATTCATCGATTGCTGACTTCAAAAGTGGCACTATGCCACTTTTGGGGTGTGACATCTCCTAAGTTGATACATCGAAGTAAAAGCGATGTTTGAGTTGCGACACGTGGTGAAGGTCCATCTGAGTTGCGACAATATATTTGTTATCAATATGTGTGGTCTATCTAGTAGAGTGGATTTTGTGATAATTTGAGAATCGACATACCTCTGTTTTTGTTTCATTCAAAAATAATTCATTATTATCAAACCATGCATTGGATGGGTAGTAACGTATTTGGCATAGATTAAAAATAAAAAAGGACCTAATATGGACCCCTGTGGTACTCCCCTTTTGATGAGTCCTTGTCGACTCACATTGTTATTGTTGTAGACTCGTTGGGTTCTATTTTTGAGGTACGATTCAATTATACTTCTAGAAACTCTTCTCATTCCCATTCCATTTTGTTGAAGAGTCCATTATGACTGACGCAATCAAATGCCTTTCGAAAGGTCTGCGAATATAGTTAGACAGAATTGTTTGTATTCAAAATATTAGAGAACCTATTTACAGCTTCTACGGTATTTTTTCCTTTTCTAAATCCAAACATGTTCAATTTTTCCATATAATTACTGCATTGGATCAAGATTGCTTCTTCCATTACTTTGGATATCATGGGTAAAATAGATAGATAGATTGATAAGCTTTATTGTCTATAATGAGCACATTTTGTCGACAAAGTCAGTATCTTGCGATACATTGATTGCAAGATTATAAATATATAAAACAGAACAGGAATATATAAAAATAATACAGAACAAACATATATAAAATAAAATAACATAGACAAGTTTCATTATTATTACAAACAACAATTATTTTTAAAATCAATAATATGAATCTTTAATTATTCTCACATATCATAGAAAGACTAGAATTTGTAGGTAAAGTATTCATCCAAACTGTACAAGCCTTTTCCCACTAACATATCTTTGACAGATCTACGGAATTGTTTCAAATCATTGATCATAGTTGTACATTCTGGTAAATGATTGTAAATCTTTTTACTCCTATAAATTAAGGATTGTCTCGTTAAAGATGAACTAGGCAGTGGAAGAGCAAGGTTCCTTTTATCATGCGTAATCTTGTCTATGTTTGCGTTCATGAAATTTCTTCTATATTTGTGAAGCAAACAGACTGTTTCTAAAACGAAAATGTCAAAGACCGTCAATATCTTATAATTGTGAAACATTGGCCTGCATGAGTCACGCGGCTCGAGTTTGAATACAAATCTCAGAGCTCGTTTTTGAAGGACGAAAACACTATTTAAGAGACCATGACAGTTACACCCCCAGAATGAAATTCCATACCGTAGATGCGATTCAATAAGTAAGTAGTATGCTGATATTGAAGCTTGCAATCCAAGTTCACGGGATATCACATTGACTGCGAAGCAGCCAGCTGATATTTTTTTCTTAAGAGCTGATATATGATGGTCAAACTTCAAATTGCTATCTATGTGAACACCAAGAAATTTCGTGGCAGACTTGCTCTCAGTGAGTTGATCTCCTAGAGCAATTTGTTCAATCTCTGACTTGAATGTCACTAAATTTGTTCTAGAAACATTCAGAGTTAGCATATTAGCTATATGCCAGAGAATCGTGGTATCATCTGCAAATAAAGTTAGGTGTCCAGAAATATCTAGACTAACCATATCGTTGATATAAATCAAGAAGAGAATCGGACCAAGAACTGACCCCTGAGGGACCCCCCGTATAATATTACCTTTATCCGAAGTCTTCTTTAACAATGATTCTCTTTGATTTCTATCAGTGAGATAAGATCTGAACCAGTTTAGAGCTGTACCACGAATACCGTAATGAAAAATATGAATCTGTCTGTAGTTTTCAGCCAATTCTTCATCCGTTTTTTGGTGGATGACAAGAACTTTGGCTGGTTTGAACACGGAGGGAAAGATTCCATCAGAAAAACATTTGTTTATTAGTAGAGTTGAAGGTTAAATGAAGAGTAATGCACATTGCTTGAACAAATTCGTACGCATACCGTATATTATGTCCTGAATATTTTTAGCTTTCAGACTACTCACTATTGAGATTATAGAATACATGATTATATTATGATATATGCAAAAAAAGTCCTAATATGATTTTATAAATATCGACTCCTTTTCATTTCAATATAAAAGCACGGCACCGTCCAACAGTATGTTCATCTCTGAAAAACTTCATATCATATTTATGGATTTTCATACCGGTCCCGATTTGGTAAAAATCGTACGACTAAAAGCTGAGATATAGGGGGGTGGCTTTGAAATGAGTCACGCTTTAGATTCGTTAATGTTGAATAGTTTTTCATGAAACTTGGTACAGATCTATTTCAGAGGACGCCGATTCCAGTGGTGTACCAGATTTTTTTCTAAAAAAAATCGCTAATATGGATTCTGGATTGTTGAAAAAATGGAACCCGCTCAGCTCCAAAATTCACCGTTTCCACCTCTACATTTCAGAAAAAAAAATCGCTCCACAAATAACAAATTTATGAGGGTGGTCCGCTTTCAAATGGGTCACTCTGTATATGTGTGTGCAGTTTTTTAATCATCTGATGATTTATTGTGAGATCGCCTCATCTGTAAACTTTTCTGCCAATTGACAATACTTACTAATGGTGAGTAAGCTAAAATACAGTGTTAATTCCGAGCACAGGCCATAATTTATAATGATAAATTAATTTTTAAAGACATTCTAATACAAATTTTTAGCCGAGGAAAACTATTGTATCCGCAGTTAGTTCTGTATTCAAATATTATATTCAACAAAATTATCTCACTGAATTTGAGGAATTATTCCTTACTAGAATCTATAATGTTCAATAATGCAATAATGTTCCTTTTATTTGGTTTTTTCAGATGGATATAATTACTTACAACATACTACATGTCTATCTACAAATAAAATTATTATTTCAACTAGTGCAAACTAGAGCAGCAAATAGGTATATTTTTCTTGATTTTTTTTTAAATTCAGAATAAGTTTATTCTTTGCGGGTCCAGTAGGTGTAAAACGTGCCACTAGTAAAATGAAATTACTACAAACTTTGCCAATATATTTGATTCTAATACGATTTTGTAGGTAGGATAGGGTATTTTATTTTGGATTTTCTTCGGAACTTTTCCCATAACACGCATGCAGGCCTTATTGTATCGGTGGTAGAGGGCCACGTTCGAGCGCATTTGTGACGTCACGATTGGTAGCGCGTGGCGTCATCGTTTCGCGGCGCTATTTTGAAAAAGGTGGTGCACATGATGCTACTTGCTGCTATTATCGCATCCTTATTCGCGAACGCCCAATACTCTGGGGCTGCACCAATTACAAACACAACCAACATTGAGTACTACAGAATAAAAAAGAAATATCCCAAATTTTCGCAGATGACAATTCCAACGATCGCAATAGCAAAAATTTCGAAATTCTGATTTAGGACTACTGTCTCGACTACTGTCCTTCTGGAGGTACCTACTCAGGTTTCCCTAAATGATCATAACATCAGTGGCCGTTGAAATAGTCCCGCCATCTGCGGAATTTTTAAGTTTAAACATGAAGGAAAATTACATTTCCAGTTCAAACTAGAAACTTCCAACTGCAAACTCGAACTTTCCGACTGATGAGTAGAAAATTCAAAGCTTGAAGTCGAAAAAATTAAATTCCGAATTTTGAGTTGGAAATATCAAGTTTCAATTCGGAAAATGGAATTCCCAGTTACAGGTTTTTTCTGAAAATGAAATACTCTGAACAAACCCAGAATTTCGAAATTTTCTGGTGCTGAGAAAATATCATATTGTAAATAAATAAAAAGACAACACAAGACAACCACGTCTTCCTTTTCGCCAACTCGACCATATCAGCAAGTTGTTTTGACGGAAAAAACTTCCATTCATCGCTTCCTCTTCAACATATGATGGCGTGTTGTGAAATTTGTTCACCTAGCACCCTGTCTTTGCCGGTCACGTGAGCAATAAGATTTTGCAAGATGGGACTAGTAAGTGTCAGTTCTTATTATTCATTTTTTGTCCAAAACGAAAATTGGAAAATTTTAAAATGAGTTGGCAAACTTCTCTATCGGTTCGTCCATGGTATTGTTCCAATAGAAATCCATCGTTTTGAAATTGTGTATTTTTTGCCTTGAATATTTCAATTTCATACAATGGAAAAAACCTTCATATGTTCATTTCACAAAAGAATATTGAATTTGATCAAGTTCTAATGATTTGAAATCTTCATATTCACTGCAATATGCCTGATTTGGGTAAAATTGTTATAAAAAAATGTGGCCCGAAAAAAAAACGAGGTCAAAATTGGTAGAAAAAAGTTGATATCATCTCTTAAGATTGACAATAAAATGTTGTGCTGGCTGAACTTAAAACAATATTAGAAATACTATATTATATTTTCACCAGTAATGAAGCTGTGTGAAAAATTCCAGCTTGATGGGATAACAGAAGGAACTGGGTCCGTTGAATTTCAAGATCTATCCACAGTACACATGTTAAGATAATAAATCCATTAAATGAAAGGGCGAGAGGCACATAAAATAGGACCAGCTGGAATATGTTTTTTTGATATTTATCAATGTAATTCAGGCTCAAGGAAAGTGTATTACAGGTGATTACAAGCTAATAAGAAGTTAGATACTTTTATTCATCCAGATTTTTTGGGATTTTCTCTCCTCTTAGATTTCTTTGCTGGAAACAAGTTTTTTCTGAAAACGCAGATTTTGACAAAGATGAAATGAAAATAACAAATGAGTAAAAAAATACTGACCCGCTTGGGATTCACCCCCGACCAGCCGTTTGGTGAGCTGCACTTCAAGCCAATCATATTGAAAAGTTGAAAAAATATCCTAGTCTAATGATTATTTCATATTGAAAAGCCCTTGTGTATCAACTGTTAGTAAATCAATTGCTATTCATGATGACAATTTGGTCATATTGATGCCTGTTCCTCTGAATTTGTAATTGATAACTGATCCTCTGAAGTAATAGTTTATATACCTCTAAAACACTTCATACAACTTTCTTCTGTACTTTCTGTAAAATTGTTACTAAAATTATGTAACCTGTCAATTTTAGAATGTAATTTGATAAGTACCTGTTGGTTAAGCTCAAAGATAAGCCAACTCATGAGCCACTGTTCGTTGTAGTTCCTATTGGGATCAAATAGATCTCTTTAGTCCCTTTTTAGAGGGATCAAAGGATATATATACTTCAATTCTGAAAGTATAAAATAGTATATTATATACCATAAGATTCAAGTGACCCATTTAATATAGGGAATGGTTTGTTGTCCAAGAGAAACAACCACTTGAAGGATTATGGGTTAAGTTACTTTGGTCCCACAATATAGACAAAATTATTTGCAAATGTCACTAAAATTAGATAACATGTCAATTTCAATTTCAACAATGTTACAATTCAATTTAACAAGTACCAATTGGTTATTCAGTCAGTTTGTTTTGAAATAATGAGAGATTAAAAAATAATAGGTCCTTTCAGTTTATCTTTGGATAGATTGAAGGGCATACTCTTTAGTATCAGATTCATAAACATGGTATTATATTAGTCCTGTCATTAGTCTCATTTTGAAAATGAAGATAGTTTTCTTCAGGCTGAGCTTTCATCTTCTATATTCATGAAATCTTCATACAAGTGAACCAGATCCATCATTAGAGAAGAAAATCTTAAAATTCCATTTATTGATTTGATTAAGTTATGAGGAGTCTGAATGTTCCTCAAACAATAAAATTAAAATGGATGATAGAGCAAATAATCACCTCTTTAATTATGGAAAAAATACCTGAAACCTCAATCTTTCCTATTTATTATATATTATGTACTTGGTTCAGTCCAAGTTGGAATTCCTCATTATTTTTTTTTTATATTCATCCTCATATAGTTCATGACTAGGTTCATGAAGATCTCCAACATGCAAGGCAATTTATAAGTATTTTTTTGAAGTTGTAAGAAGAAAGAAATGATGGAGGAAGCCACTGAATCTCCATATACATGAAAATTATTATCATTGTTATTATTATTGTTCATGCAGAACAAAATAGACACTGCCCATATAACAGATAATGAATTTTACCTAGCAAACATTTCATGAGCTGCCTTTCTGGCTAGTTTTTCATCCTGGGTCATGGAAATGCAAGATTTCACATCCATATAGTTGAGTTCGTTTATACCCTTTCCTGTTTGCAAGCATGTTTTCAAGAGTTCTGTTGCTTCTATATTACCCTGTTCTGATGCTTTCATCAACCAATAGACTCCTAATCGGGCATTTTCTTTCCTTTCTGAATCACATTCTATACGGAAAGGAAAATTGTGCAGCTTCCAGCTTGTCAATGATTTATCAACAACACTTACCACAATCTTCATGCAATAATTGCTTGGCCAAAACCACCTGGGATTCTGGACAACCATCAGATGCCAGTTGATTTCTGAGTCTTTTGAGAGAAGGACCACCTGTGTATTAATGATATATCATGACAATATTTATAGGCATGTGAAAGAGGGTACAACTAAACTAACTATACTTGGGAAAATATGGGTATATACCATGTAGAGTCCACTGCTTGCGACCAGATGATGTTTTTTTCGGCACAACACCAGCCATGATAAACACTATTTCATATATTCATGACGAGCAAATCATGAAATTCAAGTCTCAGCACTTGCCTTGCAACTTGAAATATTTTATTACACGGGCATCAACTCATCAACATCGTTCTTGTTCAACTTCTACATGCCTCCACCCTGATACCTACATATTCAAAATTCAAAAAAGATTGCTGAATTTCGCTGAATCTAACAATTTCAATGAACTAAAAGTTCACTCATCATCGATACTACAGTCATATGTGAACAGTAACAGTAGTAATGTAAAAAACACTAATAAAAAGTGAGTAAACACCAAAAACTGGCAGAAAGCAACAACTTGTCAATATGTCATACATGTCAATATGTCAAACCATGTTAATGACAGCTGATAGAAGCGCTGAAATTCAAACAGCCATGACTTTCGGTAAAATGGCGGCAAATTCAAATCTCTGTATCTTTCCTTATGAAAAAAAGGAACTGTTTCCGACTTTTCAGCTTTACAACCTCGCTAACCACTTCCTGACTTATCGGCCTATGAGACACAGTTCGTTTGATCTAGGGTCCCTTGATGGAAAATGGAAATTGACGTTAAGATGACTTTAACGTCAATTTCCATCAAGGGACCCTAGGGTCCCTTGATGCAAACTGACGTCAATGATCTGTCCGTATCCAAGGATTATCAACTGAGAGTTAATAATCCTTGGTTGATTTCCATCAAGGGACCCAGTAAAAAGAGATATGATTAATTCAAAAAGCGCCGACATGCAAAAGCGCCTTAATTGTCTCCTGTCATTTGTCAGTCTGATTAACGTTCTGTAATAAATGTTGTTCTGAAGTTCTCTCTCTGGTTTTGCTTGTTTTGTGTTGTGCTTGTGGAAGTGTGACGTGTGACTTGAGTTGCGTTGTTTTCTGTTTGAAATGGAATAAAGTTAAAGAACACGTGGTGTTCTTCTTGAAAAATCAAACTAAACAGTAAAATAATCGGTTGAAATGGTATATATTCACTAATTTCTTATACTGTCCAACACCCCAATCTTTGCATGGGCTATAGGCTTTGAAATAATCGTTTGCATTAATGTAACCTACATTCTCATTTTCAGACAAAATTATACATCTTATTCGAGCATGCAGCTGGCTATGGTGTGTTTCGAGTGGAGGAATTTGAAGAAATTGGCATGTTGCTTCCCCAACTAGAGTCAGCTGCACATGACCTCAGTCGATTCAACAGCATAGTGAAACTAATTGGTTTTTCCCCCTTCAAGTCTGCTATAACAGCATTAGAAAATATCAATGCTGTTTCAGAGGGTATATTACCTGAAGAATTGCAAAATTTCTTGGACATTACCATCCCAAAAGGTGGAAAGAAAGACAAAATCACACTGGGTGTGAGTGATCCAAAATTATCAGCTGCAGTAACAGAAGCCTTAGGCATTTCTTGCAGCCATGTTGGTGCTGTTCCTGAAATTATTAGAGGTAAGCAATTATCCTCATCTTATTTATAACCATTCTCACACTTTCTTTCAAGGAATTCGTCATCATTTCCATAACCTTGTGAAAGGTTTCACTTTAAAAAGCTCTGGTGTTGCTCAGTTGGGTTTGGGACATTCATATTCTCGTGCCAAGATAAAGTTCAATGTTCACAGAGTGGATAATATGATTATACAATCTATAGCTCTATTGGATCAATTGGACAAAGATGTGAATACCTTCTCAATGAGAATACGGTAATGTTTATGAATAATTCATACATACATTTTATTATTTCACTGAAGGGAGTGACCCTTGAAATAATTTCTTAGTTTGTCATTACTTTTGACCTCCAAAAGTTTAAAAATAATTCCAAGGCCTATATCCTCTCCCTTTCCTCCTTGTGGAAGTATGCATGATCCAAGAATTATTATAGAGATTCCCTTTTTCTGCACTAAAGACATTCACAACTACTGTCATTTTTGGATTTGTATAGGTAAAAGGTAGCTCATGGAAAAAATATTTCATAGGCCTCAATAATGCTACAATCATTTATAGAAACCCTGTTATAATTTGCTATAATCCTTAACATAATTACTGGTGTAATTATTATTCTTGAGGAATATTTCATAGTAAAGCAAGGCATAAATGTTTAATTTAGGCAATCAATCAGATAATCAGCTCTCCCATCATTATATCAGGAAACCTATTTGTTGGATATAATATTTGAGAATTAAATTAAAGAAGGGGGAGGGGGGGTAAGGGAAGCAGTTGGACTGGAAGTGTACTTAGTGCAAAATTTAAAGAGAAATCTGGATTTTGAAATCTGGAATTTTAAATTATGTGAACTGACATGATCTCTTTTGATTGTTCCAGTTACATTGGTGTGGTGTCTAAGGAAAGAAATTCTTTCAAATCATTTGTACCCATTTTATATAACAATATTTTTCAAACAATTTGTTAAAATATGATAACTTTTGAAGTAAAAATGACAGATGCTGACATAAGAGTTGAAATTGTTGTTTCCTCATAGTATTTTAGGATTCATGTCATTTGCCTAAATCATTGCAATAAATAATGGATTAATAGGGCTTTTTTTTTGTCAGTCAGCCTATATATAATAATATTAATAAGTATAATAATAGTATTGAAAATTTTTTTTTGGCCATCCATATGTGAAATTGCCAAATAACTTTGATGTCCAATATTCCAAAAATAATTCATCATAATTTGCTCAAATTTTGTAGCTGTTTTTCTATTGAAACTATTGGAGATGGAATATATTACAAAGGAAAAATCCAGATCCGGACTTTGTGATCACTTTTCTCTAAAAATTTCATCAGATTCAGAAAGATCAGACAAAATGCCATAAGAACTGCTCTTTAATTTGCACTGCCCACTTCCACCAGGTTAATGAAAAAATATGAAAACTTTTAAATGAATTTTGAATTCCAACCTAGCTGATAACTGTTAACTTCCAACTGGATACATTGATTTTTTGTACATTTTGTTGGATAGAAATTGACAGAAAATAATACTTGTCAAAAAACATTATTGTTTTTTTTGTTATTTTGAAATGTTAGTTGCCCATCTCATATCATAATATGAATATTCATGATACTTGAATTGTAAATATGTATCATTTTATCAAACGGCGCCTGTGCCAATCAGTCCAATCACTATCCCTGAGCAAAATGATCGAAAAGTTACACTTTCCTGTGCGGTAATAGGCGCAAAATTTAGCGATTTGATAATGTTCAATATCAATTGGATGCATAGGCGTATCCAGGGGGGGGGGCTGCCGGGCTGCAGCCCGCCCCCCATCACGGCAAGTCTTAGGAGGATAATTTATAATTTTCACATATTATAACCACTTCTGACGTACGACAATATTCATCACTTCTATATTCATCACTTCTCTATAACCTATACGTAATAAACAAATCAACAGAACATTATTCGAAAATATCAATTTTATAAATATAAGTGCGTATTGGCAACAGCGCCAGAATCGTTGCGACAGTCGGGACACATCGTGACTCGTGAGATGTCGCGTGAAGAAACTTGCGAAAGCACAGAAAGGACTGAACATACCTACATTACGATTTTAGTAGACGTGGGTATTTGCCGTTTTTTCCGCTGAACAAAGTATTAAAAAGGAAAAAGCCTCTTCCAAGTGTAATAAGGTAAACAGGATTCCTCCATCTCACAAACAAAAAGGGAATAAGTGCAAACTCGCACCCAGATGCAAACATTTTTGCCGTCCCGACGGCCGATAAAAGAGAATACCCGCGTAACGTTTTGGTATGTTTAGGATGAATTATGGACATAAATTGGGCGTGGCTCCGAAAAATGTTTTTAACCTGCGGCGCTTCTCTTTGGTCACCACTTTTTCTTAACACAGCCCCCCCCAAACCATAATCCTGTATACGCCAATGATTGGATGGTAGATCTCTAAACCCTACCGCTACTTCTTAATCTGAGTTGAATACTTGCCACTACGATTTTTTTTGGCTGCCGTCATTCCGGACGTACTTCCGTCACCTGATGAAGAGTTGAAACAAAATGTAAAAAAAAGGGAATATCCCCTTCATGAATATTCAAACGGGCGTGATTCAAACTGATCTGAGTTTGATGGCAAAGTGTCGATATTTCTGAGAATATTTTGCCCATATACAAATCAATCTGCAGACCAATATTAAAATATGGCCAATATCTGAACATTAGAAACTCAGCAATGAAGAACTTGCAAATCGCCGAAACCTCCGCACTTTGAACCATCACTAGAATGCGTCACCCAGACAATGTGCTACACAACCCACCCAATGATCTGCTATATTCCACGACCAAGGTGCAGAAGATACAGGAAAGACTACCAACACTGTCTAAAAAATTTCTCTGATAACGACTCTCCATGATCTAACTGAAATCCCATAGATTTTATCATCTTGTTTTTTTTTAACAACAACTGTTTTCACTTTTCAATCCACTCAAAAGAGATAACATTTCAAAAAGAGATAAGACCATATTGGCTGAAGGACTCAGGTCCATGGCCACTTGACTGTATTGTATTGTATATTTGTGTACATTTACATAAACGATCAATAAAGTACTTTATTATTATTATTTCGCTCCTGTAGAAAGATAATACCCCATAGCCCAGAACATCAAAACCGATGAACTAGTGTGAAACTCATGGTGTCCATTATCTTTTGACAGGCGCGAAATATTTTCGGAAATATTGACGCTCTGCCACTAACATGAAGCAGCCATAATCGCGGCACTTTTGGATATTCGCAAAGGGGACATTATTCCCTTTCATGGAAGTATGTCCTGAATGACGGCAGCAAATAAATCACTGTGTCGAGGATTTGGCTCATTGAAGGGTGGCACAAGTCAGGATTTGAGATCTACCATTCAATTGGGATGGCATGATTGTCACCTCGTGGTCAAATCGCTAAATATTATCGTTCAGAAAAGTGATATTTTTCAATAATTCTGCTCAGGATAGTGATTGCCATAGGTGCCGTTTGATAAAATAATGTTTTTATATTGTATGCCTTCAGGACATATGTCATTTCCTTGTACAGGGCCGTTCCTGTGGTATTGTGCGCCCTGGTGCAAACGAGAAATTGCCGCCCTTTGTGGAAACAACAAATTTTGATCCGTAATTTTACTATGTTTTTGAAACATTCACAATACCACCATCAAATAGTGACACTAAGATAAAAAACTCAATAATATAGCAACGCAATTTTATAATACATACTTTTATATCAACATAAATAAATGTAATCTAAATATAAAACTGATCAACACAAAAAAAACTTAAAAAAGTATTGCAAGGATAAAAAGCCATAATATAATTAGTAGAAATCGACTTTTCGCGCTTTAGCATTTGCAAAATCTTTGACAACATCATTAACATTAAATTACTCACATATCTCATTTTCTATAGAAATGATTGCTAAATTATTTAATCGCTCTTGGGACATAGTTGTGCGGAGCGTAGATAGTTTTTTATCAACTTTGAGAATGCGAGCGCTCTCCACTTGCTACGGTGACAGGCAGAGTTAACATAATTCTCAATACTATGGTTAAATTAGGAAAAGCACTATGTAGAACGTTTATTAAAATATATTCTAGAACACTTTCAGGTGAATATACTTCTGAGACAAATTGGTAATAATTTCAATTCCATTGGCAAGGTCAAGTCCTATGACATCTTTTTCACAGTTATCATAATTTTCATCAGATAATGTCTGCTCTAACTCACAGCAAAATATTTTCAAATCTTTTTTTGTCATTTTTGTCAAATTCCGAGAATCGCTCAAATGAAGCATTTGACGCAGTGTCTAGTACTGCAAGAAAAAAATTCACCTTGAAGCTATTTTCCGGACTGCTGATACTCTCATCATCGCCTTCATAATCAAAATGTGTTTTCTTTTTTCTTCTCCCTACCTGGCTTTCTAAAGGAAATTGATTTTCAATCCCAAGACATTTGGCTAACCCAGATGCTTCATTTAAGGTTTCCGTAAAATGTTCATCTCTTCGAAATGTTGATATTATTTGTTTCAGTTTACTTAAAAGCTCTACTGCACCGTGTAAGTTAACATTAACGCCTTGCAAAATCTTACTGACAACATTGACCTTCGATAAAATGTCGTACCAAATTTTTCCAGACGTTCTTTTCTGTATTGGTAGCCTGAGAATTCACACATCGGACACATCGGTGATCGGACCAAATACAGTGGTGGGGCGGCATTGTAAATACAAGGCGGCTGTGATATGGAATATCGCCGCCGCCGCCCTTCTTACCTTGCCGCCCTGGTTCCTCGCACCACTCGCACCCCCGGGTAGGAACGGCCCTCTTATCAGATGACTGACAAAATTTGCATCCGGCTCTTGGACTATAACTTTTCATTTGAAATCATTTGACTTTAGACTTTTTGCCCCTTACTTACCATTTTCTTCTTACACTCTCCCCTCCCGCCTCTCAATAGATCAGACTTGCTCCTGGTTTAGAAAGTTGGCATTCCTATCTGACTCCACAAATAATGACAAATGGGATAATGTGTGTTCTCTTTTTAAATTATTTCATATTTCATATTGTATGGCTTTTATCAACATAAAAACTTCATAATTTCATGAACATTTTTAGTGAGTGGTATTCCTACCATTTCCCAGAACTTGTCAAGATAGTACCAGAAAATTACACTTTTGCAAGGTTGGCAAAATTCATCAGAAATCGAAAAGAGCTTTCAGATGAATCACTAGAAGGACTCGAAGAAATCACAATGGATTCTGGCAAAGCACAGGCAATTCTGGATGCATCAAAATCAAGTATGGGAATGGACATCAGTGATATTGACTTGCTAAACATTGAAATGTTTGCTACTAGAGTATTATCACTGGCAGATTATAGGAAACAACTAGCGGAATATTTGAGGTCAAAGATGTCTGACGTTGCTCCAAATTTGGCCACTTTGATTGGAGATCAGGTTGGTGCAAGACTAATTGCACATGCTGGGTCCTTGACAAATCTAGCCAAGTATCCTGCATCCACTGTGCAAATTTTGGGAGCTGAAAAAGCTTTGTTCAGAGCTTTGAAAACTAAAGGTAATAATTATTTCTTAATTTTTGTTATATTATCAATGATGTAAAACTATAATGGTTAGTCAAATTGGAATTCATCATAATCATTATAAATACTGTCTGTAGGTTAATGAATGAGGTGGTATATTTGTTTTGCTTGATTATTTGATTATTTGTTTCTATTGAATAAAAATATGAGTATCATTGCAATATACCTGTAGTAGGACAAATCTGATGAAACCAATTTCAAAAGGATAATATTTTTCATGTTGAAAAGTGGGATTCATTTAAATGTCCAAAGATAAGTATCAATTTGACATTATTTCAATATTTCAATATTTCTTTTCTTCAAACATTTTCCATAACAAAGTGTCACTGACAAGCCATTGGATTTTTCTTTTAGGCTCTCTAAGAGAAACAATTTTTAAATAGAGACATTTTGGGGGCAAATCATCTGATTTGTCCTACTACACATATATTGAAATAATACTCATATTTTCATTTTATTGAAAAGAGAGAAAATCCAAAATAATCAAGCAAAATGAATGATCATTGTAATTAATAACATTATTTTCTTATTATTATTAATGGCGGGAGATGGTGCGGAGGTTGAGAACACCAAAAGGTGGCTATGCTTGATCTCCAGCAGAGCAGAGAATTTTTATTTATAAAAGGACCTTAGATCTATGGCCAGTTGGTATGTATATACATTCCAACCAAGTACATATACTACTAATACTACCCTTATTATTATTATTGAAAAACTTTAATCCAAGAAAATAATATCGGGAGATGGTGCGGTGGTTGAGAACACCAAAAGGTTGCTATGCTTGATCTCCAGCAGAGCTGAGAATTTTTATTTATAAAAGGACCTTAGGTCGATGGCCAGTTGGTATGTATATACATTACAACCAAGTACATTTATACTACTAATACTACCCTCATTATTATTATTATTGAAAAACTTTAATCCAAGAAAATAATATCGGTTCCCACAGACGATAAGAGCTATACAAAATCCATAAATGATTATATTAATCCAGGAGTTTCTTCTGATCAAGTATATGAACTAAATGTGGTTTTGTCCTAGAGTATTAGCAAATAAGGTAGAAAATTCAACCACAGCATTCAGAAACATCAACATCAAAAGAAAACACATTTAACAAACTATACTAACCATATTTAAAATACAATCACAATTTCGTCCATTGCTTCAAAGATGTTCATGTAGAAAATGAGGAAATTGAATTCTTTGGAATCATTAGAAGTAAAAAAATTCGAAACTGGTACTATTTTACTCAGCAACTAAATATACCTCAATCAGCCTTCTCTTGAACACTCCTCCAATCATTCTGTTTGCAATTATTCTTGTCACATTATCTACAACTAAGTGTGGAGGAGTAAGATCTACAATTATTACCTGTGAAGTCTACAATTACCTATCTCCATTGTGACAGGATATCCCTCCTCTGTGCATGTGTACACAATCTAGTCTTTCAATTTTCGTTAGATTAGCCTTTGTGGTGGCTCAACTAGTTTGGACTCTATTGTGTAGTTTAGTTTTCTCTGAACTGTCACAGAGGGTCCCCTTTGTGAGTATCACAATGTCATCGGCATAGCTGTGGACTCCACATTAGTTGTGATAGCACTCCACCTTGTGGGCAGCCTCTGCTTATTTGAATGAAGATCGTCTCCTGTCCAACCTTTGTTTCTGCAATTCTTGTGAGCCGGAGTCACTGGCATAATTTCTTTGAACACCAAATTCCAATACAGATAATTGTGCATAGTTACATTTTAATTCAGCCAGGATATTGCATAGGTTGGTAATTTATACCTGTACTTGGTGAGGTGAAAAAGGCAATGTAGGTTAATGAAATGCATGTGTTCATCACACAGAGTATGTTTGTAAAAAATGTATTTGAGAAGTCGGTGGAAATCCTATCATATATAAAATATGTTCAAACTATTATGGATTTTCCTCTGCACAAGATCTTGCCCAGTGAGGGAAGAATTAAAATCAAAATTGATGAGAGTAAGACACGAGTTTTGCCCAGTCACATGACAACAAAATGTGAGAGATCAAGAATCAGCTGATTGTGGGCAAGAATAATACCTATCTTCATTGTAGAGGCAATCATATTGATAGTTCTTTCTCTCTTTTATGTTGATTTCAATGCTCTATACAATGATGATGAATTCTATCAAGTTGAGGCTGACTCATTTTAAAATAATTTGTGATATCAATTTGATCATGGGATAAAACAAGTCTAGGTCTGAAATATGAATTTGATTTTTAGGAAATACTCCCAAATATGGACTCATCTTCCACTCAACTTTCATTGGACGTGCGGGTGCCAAAAACAAGGGTAGAATTTCGAGGTATCTCGCTAATAAGTGTTCTATAGCATCAAGAATAGATTGTTTTGCGGAGGCTCCTTCCCAAATTTTCGGAGAAAAGCTACGACAGCAAGTTGAAGACAGGCTGAAGTTCTATGAAACCGGTGATATTCCAAAGAAAAACGTTGAAGTAATGAAGGAAGCAATCGAGGAATATGAGCAACAGGTGTCTCAAGCAAAATCTAAGAAGAAGAAAAAGAAAAGGAAAGCATCAGAAGCCCTTGATGATACAAATGGTGCTGATGGAATGGTAGAAACTAATGGTGACCAAAGTTTGGAGCCACCTAAGAAGAAGAAAAAAAAGAAGTCTCTTTCTTTGAATGACTCTTCTGTATCATTGAATGATACTGTGGAAGCTAATGGAGGAGCAGAGGTTGATTCTGAGTCTCCAAAAAAGAAGAAAAAGAAGAAGAATAAGGATGCAATTGCATAATAATTTTTGGCAATCCCTTATTATAATCATTTATTTTATCTTCAAATATTCAATACAATTTGTATTGAGTCTTTCATGTTTAGTGTCTCATTTTTAAAAACATACCTCAAATAGTTGGAAACAGTTTATTGAACAATGTATATGCAATCAATTCATTGGCGGTAATATATATTTTATTGTTTATGACAAATTTATATAATAAAAATTTCTTACAATAAATTTTATTATTCATACATATTCACATGGTGGCTATTTGAAAACGAACCAGAGCCCATTTTGGACACCCAAGGTCATTTAAGAAAAAACGCTCGGACCCGTCAATTTTTTATTTTAGGAGAGAATATGTTTTGCCAGTTTCACTTCCTGTACAGAAACCCTCTAGCGGGGGTCAGACTCACCCCTAAAATCTTGAATGGAAAGTGATATTGCCAATACAGTCGATCGTCCCGTAAAATCCCATCGTTGCACAAAATGCGTTTCCTAACTAGTTACATGCAATATTTTTTCTGATTTTGACGAAAAATTCGCTTGAACAAAAATAATGATCAGTACTACCCAATCAAAGTGATATTGGAGAAGCAGCACAAAATGCACTATTCCCTTAGTCCATCCATTTCGTAACTGGTGTTGAAATCAACATTTCATCACTCTAGTCGTTACATAAAGTGAGACATTCCAAAACTTCCGACCGTTTTGAAGTGTCAAATTACATGTCAGAATTATAAAAAAATGTTGAAAAAGTGACATTTAGAAATAGTCTATCCAAAGTCAATTGAAGCATATGCCGCACCGCGCGGCTTCGGCGGATTTGGAGTTCCATTTGAAGTGGGTGCATGTGCAGCTCAAGGCGCTCGAATTGACTTTGGATAAACTATACCTGTTAACAGAGATAAAATTTTAGCCGTCACAGAAAAAAATATGTTACCATTGCAAATTAAAAAAGTTGGTATTTATCATTCTCTATAATAATAATTGATGTTGATGTGAACTCCAACTCGCTGTAATGTAGGGTCTCATCATTTACATAAATATAAGATTGTCTGTTTATTATGAAATTTATATACTGACTCATCCCATTTACTAATAATTCACCAATGACAATATGAAATGAATAATTAAGATATTGTTAGGAGTAGACATAACCATAATGAAAAGAGAAGTTTTGACAACAATTTATTTTTCATTATCTACAAGATGTGAGCGGAATGTTTGAGAAGAATTTACAGTCAACTTTACCGTCTACTTTGACAGGACAACATTCATTCAACAATAAGGCACAACGGACTATGTACTTCGAACTCAAAATGAAGAGCTGTTTAATCGATTTATAGTTTTTATTGCTCTTACTTTATTTTTTCTAATTTATAAGAAAGCATCTAACGTTCAAGAATTAATATTATTACGATAAATAAAGTTATCAACTAATAGTAAAATAATTCAACAATAGTAAAATATTTAAAATGAAATAATAACCCAGCACCAATTATGAGCATTTTCACTTCTATACACAAAATAATACAAAAAATATGTGCACTTTGAACAAACAAAGTTTGTAAAAGCAAGATAAATTGGCTAATCTCGAAGTGGTCTAAAAAATAGTTATTGATTGATTGATTGATTGTCTTTATTACCCCAAGATATCTTTGGAATTCATCAACCAATTCAATTAGAAATATTTAAAAACAAAACTACTGTTACAGCTGAACCCATACAATGAATAATACCTCGGCAAGCTGCCACCAAAAAACCTGTAATGTCAACATTCAACACGCAATTATTGAGGTCTTACATATTGATATTTTCACATTGGTACCCTGAATTTTATACATACACATACACCACTGTCTTAAATATTAATGGAAACGCTCGATCATAACAATCACCATGGAACCCTTTTAATGCTCTATTTGAGACAATATTTCGGTTCTATTGCCACATGAGATCAATTGTATAGGTCAGCCCGTAGTGAAACCGTCGCTGGTGGATCATTTGAAACTAGCGAAAAACTGATTGTTCTGCTGATTTTGCGGAAATTGTGGCGTGCTGATGAAATTTATGGGCATCCCCACCCCAGGAGAGACGATACCCTGGTTCATTACCCTCGGTTGGTTGATGGGAGAGGTTTGGTTACTGGCTAACTGGTTCATGCTGGGCGATGGACCGAATTTCGGTTTGCTATCTAATAAATTATCAAAGTCTATGTTGATATTTCCCGAATTCTTCCATGTGGAACCGACTGGCAAGTGTTTGCTGGGGTTTTGTTTCTCCGTGTTGTTGTTTGTTGTGGTGGAAGACAATGGTTGAAGGAGATTTGCTGATGTTGGGGTCAAAACTGATCCTGTAATAGATATTTACGTAAATATTACGATATGAAGTGGGAAACGAGGCCGAGTTTGATAACTCATCGATTATCGTAATATGATACGAATACAGGGTAATTCATTGGGAATTGCGCATACTGTAAGGGTAGATGGAGGTTATCGAGGTGCTTCTGAATAATCTATATTTCATGAGTCCTATCATTCTTTATAACCAAGCTCCAGGGTGATATGTTAATTTTTCCCATTTCTTCAATTAATCATAACTTTTATGAACCACCCCGTACATGTTCTACGTCCATAGTGGTGACGATTGACATAATAAAAAAGTATTATTCCAGGCCCTACCTGGAAAAAATTTATAAGTCGGTTTCGAATCTAAACAATATCCTGCATATCAATATTTGGTGTTTCCCCATACAACTTTTTTACCTGTTAACGTGAATCAAATCTAGCGGTTTGGATAATGAGGTGGCACAAAGTTTTAAAAAAATAATTTGTCGTCCCCAAATGGTACTTTTCCATCTTTGATCTGTTTTGGATCCCAATCGAATAGAGCAGTTCAGCTAGAATGGAGAGAGAAGAAAATGTGTTCCCCATTTATCCTTGTCTTCAGTGTCACAACGTAAAATAATGGAAAAGACCCCGCACTGCAACAAGACGGGAAAAATCGGCTTTCGGAGAATTTGCTCGAATTTTCGATTTTTCTCTTGTGATTTTTATCTGCATCTGCGAGCGGTACGTATCGATAAAAATAATTGAAATCGTTATATGTAGATCGTCAAATTCAATGAAAATTTTCAACAAAAGTTTTTAGCGAAAAAGGGCTCGACTCTTGAGAAAATATCTCCCTGTAGATTCTTACAATCACTCGGCATACTGCATGATGTATACCCTTGAACATAACCTATGTTTCAAATTTTATCTGAATATGTCGAAAACTGAGAGCTATAATAAAAAAATTAAGAATCTTGAAACTTTCACCAGAGATTTTCACGCTCTGTGGATCGGAAATGAAGCATTTGCGGACACGAGTTCATAGGAAAAAAGTCTTATTTGGACTCGAAAATTAAGTCCCTGAAATCTTGATACTGAATTTTGAAACACCCGTCTAGATGACAGTTCATTCAAAAAAATTACTTACAACTCTCTCGATTTTTTTCGGGGCGCCCTGTATAGTATATACCCAGTTGTCTAATGAACATTCGTAATATAATCATGTTTCCATTACAACCAAAAGAAAACAGCGAAAGAAAGAGACCTTCGCTTTGATTGGTTAATATTGGAGGCACTATCACACCTGCCTAATATTATGACTTATGACGTGACATCAAGAATCAAGATCAAAGTTTTCTTCATGGGAATATGATCACATCATAGTATATGGTTCGAGATAGGGTGAAACTTACTTATACATATAGAGATTAGACACATTCAAAAGTCTAATAAGACGTTTTTGTTTAAGCATTGTGTTTCAGAAACATACTATGATCTTTGTAATTCGACTGTCGTTGATGTTGGGCCAAAAACCTACACATGATAGTAAAGTAAGTGCGATATACGCCCCTCATTGTATGATATGGTAATTAACGGTGTTTGAGTGCCCATATTTTTTTTAGATGAAGCATTACACCTTTTTTTGTGTGTTGTGTAGGCTCAGGGTGAACATGGGTTACAATAAGTGTCGCCGGTTTATACACAGTGGCCGAAATTTCTGTAGTTACTATGTTCTATAAACTCACTTCTTGAAATATAAGGGAGATAATAACCCCTTTGGGGGAAGGGATAATGAATATTCAAGTGTAATAAGTCACAATAAATTCGAAATAAATTTCACTTAATGTATAATTGAGTTGGCTGTATAATGAATGTCAAACTAATATTTCAAATGCTTCCTTATGTGTAATAGGTTCAAAAAAAAAAGTGATTGTATGAGTAATTCTACGGAGATTCATACATACATTTTTCGAATATGACTAGTTTTATCGAAATGTGATAGGAGTACAATTTTAACCATAATAAACTAAAAGTGATTTTCTCTTGAATCATTAGCCAAAATAAATTAGTTAAAAATGAAATACCGTAAAATACCAACTTACCCTTGTGTGAAAGGGAGTGTTTGACTGATGTAAAGGGAGTCTAGATAACCGATATTCATTATACCCCATCAAAGGGGTATACCGGGTAAACTGATGACTTTTCAGATAAATCTTCCTTTATATAATACAGTGTGTCCCACTCACCATGCTCACCATGGGTATCTTTTTAACGGTGAGAGATACGAGGTCGGTTAAATGACACCAAATGTGGAGTTTGTCAAGGCCAACTATAATGTGAAAAAATATTTCGATAAAATCTATTCGTTTTTGTTTTATACGCAAAAAACAGATTTTGATCATTTTCATGTCTCCTCCGTAACTTCTTTATTTATGAAAATATTCAAATAGGCATTTCACATTCTTATGGCAGTTTTTCAGAGTGATTTCGAAAAAAAATATGAAATTTATACCAACTCTTCTAGAATTTGGGATATCAGCACCAACTTTAGTTTTTTAAATGTAGGTCATAGCTCACTATGACTTAGTTACAAATAACTTTTTTTTTCTCTTACAGATGATATGTCACAGTAATAGTTTTGTGTTGATAACAACGGAGTTATCGTCATTTATACAAAAACAAAAAATTATTCGGAAGCCGCCATCTTGAATTCACGAATTTTAACAAAAAAATCATGATCTCCGACCTCAAAAACGCCCACTTACCAATTTTGAATAGAATCGGACCAAATCTTGTCCGCCATCTTGGAGCAGCCATTTTTTTTTAATTTCAACAAAAATTCCATAACTCCGATTAACTTGAAATTCGGCAGGTGTTCATAATTTCGGTGACAATACA